CTCGCATATATTTTCCGCACTACTCCTGACAATAAAAGAGTACAAAGAAAGAAGAAATTACCTTATGTAGGCCTTCCTCACCGTAACAGGGGTAGCACCAGGGCATCCGGACAGATGAAGCTTGATGAGCACCTAAAACGAAAAAAATTCAAAAAATAATTAAATTACGGTAAGATTAGGCCATAGATCTTCACAAACCTTTTTCCATAGTTGATTGGTTGTAACTCGTTTGCAACCCCCATAGTCTTGAACGACGCGGTAAAAGCGATAGAGATCTATATCTTTTCCACCAAGAATTGGTGCACGGTTAATAGGTGTCCCTAAAAGGAGTCATTACAAAGAAAGAATAGAAACTGATGACTTTATTAAGACATTCACGGCAATACGACCCACCGGTGATCGTACATGTTACCATATCGGACGATACGACCCACCGGTGGATCGTACGCTTTAAAGTTTTTGATTTTGCTAGCTTACGATGAAACATATTAGGCAAACTGAATAAACATCTGTATACATTTTTGGAATACTTCCCAAAAGGTTAACACTTCAGACCATGGGACCCATTAGTGGGTAGAAAATATTACGCAAACTCAATATTGCGGAGTATGCTCTGGTTCAAAATGGCAGTCATCGAAAACTCGGCCTTGTCGTGAATGTGTTAAGAATAAGTTGAAAATCTACAATAGTGCTTTACCTCTTTCCTCTTGGAATTTGTACAGCTGAGCCACAAACAGGTCTCTTTCTTCCCCATATTCTTCTTCACCACTACTCTCTGAGGTTTCCGAGTCACTTTCCACTCTGAAAGCGAAATATTTATAAATTCCCTGAAACAAAGAGACAAACGAAAAATATAATTCAAAGCAAATTTCAAGACAATTTCAAGAGAACTCACTTTTTCTCCGCTTTCTTCTTCTTGGCATCGTCCTCTTTCTTCGAAGTTTCGGCCTTATCGTCCTTTTTGGCCGTTTTGGTGCTTGTATCAGCTTTGACAGGTTCCTTTTTCCTCGGAATACTTGTATCGGCGTAAATCTCCTTTGCAATCCAATTATTTGGGAGCGTGCCTGCAAAAGTGCACGCACTTTGCGTCAAACCGGATTGGAGCACACGAACATTATCGAACTCTTCGCTTAGACTCTTTCGAGGGGGAAGTGAGTAGTTTTGAAATTCACTAACTAGGGCATGACATTGTGTCAGTGCAAAGAGCCAAACCCGAGAAGAAGGGAATAAGACGGAAGTAGGGCCTAATCAATAAATCGATATGCAAAAAACAGTGTGTACAACACACACAAGATCGTCGTTATGCACGCTTTCTTGAATTTATGCAGAAAATGGACGAAAGGCGCTGAGCAAGGACATTAGCTCACCTTTACTATTGAACGCGTTCGCTCTGTCGACAGCCGTGCGCTGCGGATTACTCATCGCATCGAGGGCTTTTTTACTTATAGGCTGGTCGTCCAATAGAACTAGGTTCGCGAGTGATGCGGCGAAACTAGAACACAAGGGCAAGATTAATTCAACTACTCCTCACTAATAGAATACAAATCGCGAGTACAGTAACTTACTACTTTCCATTTTGGAAACTGCGTACGGGAATTTCGTTTTTCCCCAGATTTTTTCCTTTGGTGGTCAGATCTCTGGAAGAAATGGGGATTAAAGGCAGCGGCTCGGCAGAATTTCGTATTCCAGTTTTTTACCTTTTCGGGAC